AAAAGATCATCCACAAACACAACTGATCACAGTCACCCACAGACACATCTGCTGTGTTCCCCAGAGCTTCACAAGCTCGAGTTCTGCTCTGAGATGTGAGCAGAGCTTATTCACACTGAGCACAAGGTCTTTTTTATACCATAACTGTCCAAATAATGCAAACTTAGCATTGTTTCAAGACAGCAACCCTGTCAAGGGACAAGTCTCTCCTTCACCAGCAGCTGGGATGCTGAAATAAATATATTTTAAAAAAACCTTTCTGGGATGTCCCCCAACCTTTGCTTCTAGCACACAACAACTGAAGTGGCACAGTTCATAAATTCCCATTCCAGACAGTTTTTATGACAAAATGCCCCACAGATAGMAAAGCCAGGGGCAGAAAAGAGTGAAACAAGTCTTAAAGGTGGAGCAGTGGTCTCTTACCTGCATGTGAGGAGGGTAAGAGCTGCCAGGGGCCTGAGGAGAAGGCTGAGGTGGTGGGGAGGGGGCTGCAGCTGGAGGGGGAGGCACTGAGGCTGCGGGGGCAGCGGCTGCTGCAGAATCCAGGGTGTAATTTTTAAAGGCATCAACATATTCAGGCCTAGAAGAAAACACAGAGCCCCAAACCCCATCAGGTGATGGTCTCTAAAYCTTTCACACGAGGCACCCCAGAGGCTCAAAGAGGGAAAACTCAAGTCAAAGGTTAGGAAAATACATACTTTTCTACTGTGATACATATTACGGCCCCAATAGGAACATCCCTTGTTCCTTCTGGCACCAGGATCTTGGCCAGGTAACATTCCTCCAGGCTCTCAAAGCCAACTGTAGCTTTGTCTGTCTCCACCTTTGAGAGAGAAAAGCAAATGGTGAGCCTAGAGCCTCCCAGTCTGTTGTAGGGTCAYAGTTCTGGAGAAATCACCCTGAGGCAGCAGCTTTAGGGAAGTTTGCCTTCCAASCAGCCCTGAGAGGGTGACAGCCACTCCTTCCCACCAGTACTCCTTGTATCTGCGATTCTGAACCTGGAATTTGTGTTCAGACTGGGACAGCCCCCAGGCCACACATGAGAGCTCATCCCAGCCTTGTCCCCAGGATACCTCAGCGATGAGATCCCCTTCACTGATCTTRTCCCCTTCCTTCTTCTCCCAGCGCGCGATGGTGCCCATCTGCATGGTGGGGGACAGCGCTGGCAGGGCCACCTGTGAGGGACAGGGCAGTGGCACAACCCAGACAGRTCCAGCAGCAGGAATCAAACACAGAGGTGAGGACAGAGCCAAATCCTCAGCTCAGCCTGGGACACAGACCATCAGCAAATCCCCAGGATCACCCCATGCTGTTGGTAAAGAACCCTGGCAAAGCCACACTGGTGATGAGGGGACAGGCTGGGATTTCCCAATCCCTGGAAGTGTTCAAGGTCAGGCTGGATGGGGTTTGGGGCAGCCTGGGACAGGGGAAGGTGTCCCTTCACATGGCTTTAAGGTCCATTCCAACCCCTTAACACACCACGGCTCTACCAAGAAAGGATTATAGGGAGCCAGGGCCTGCCAAGGGGTGAATACGGTGCTGGGCTAAAGGATACAGGCGATGGTTCTGGTACCCAAAGGCCATACAGGAGGACTTGAGGCGGAGTGGTGCCAAGGGCACGAGAATCACAGTTTTTTCCCTGTTTGGTGGGCAGGCAGTGGAACCGGTTTAGCCAGGGTGGTGGTGCAGCCCCCAGCCCCGGAGGTGGCCAAGAGCCGTGTGGGTGCTGTGGTTTGGGGCTCCAGCTCCTAAAGGATCTAAAGGATCCCCCAACCTTGACCATCCCTAACTCTGTCTGTCCCCGGGGCAAACTGAGCCGCAGGGGAGGGGACGGAGAACGCGAGGGGGGAAGGAGCAGGGGCAGGGAGGGGACCCGGGGGACAGCGGGCACGGGTCCGGGGGTGTCGCTCACCTTCTGGTGCGCCGGGAGGCTGCAGCAGCGGCGCGGGACGAGCCGGGGCCAGGCGGGCGGCGGCAGCAGCGGGCGGGGAGCGGAGCTGCCCCAGGCCGGGCCGCGCC